GTTCTCTATAAAATTGAATTGATTTATTTTTTATTATTGATCGAATTATTAATGACCCTCCATTTTTGACTGATTTTATTTAAATGAAATTTTTTTTTAAGGTCTCAACTTTTACTACATTAAAAATTATTTTTATCCAAAAATGTATGTTTAATAAAAGCTGTCCTTAATTTTATATTTTAGATAAGTTATAACTATTGTTGTAAGGGATTTACACTTGTTTTTTTTCGATTCGTGTTATTATTATAAATATTATTGATATTTGAATCTCATTAAATAATATTTCTTATAAAAAAAACCCAAGGAATTGTTTTTATTAACATTGTTTGAAATATAAAAATTGACACCTAACTCAAGTATGCCATTGTTAAAAATTATAAAATAAATAATTGTATTGAAGAATATATAATAATAATAATAAAAAAATTATGTTTATTTTATTTGTCACAAATGAAATGAAATCATTTCCTTTTTTTATTAAAAGTTTTACTTTTAGGACCAGCATAAAACTTAGGTTTACGTAAGTTTTTAGGACCTTTTCTCATTACACTTTGCCTTTCTTTTTTGTGTTTTTCTGCTTCTATGTCAGCTTTCTTATATTTCTTTTCCTACAATAACAGTAAAATATGTCAATATGCAATGAAGCTTAGTAATAAAATTAATACTYATTTTGTATATACCTTTTGTGTAGAAAATGTGAACTGCCGATTACCACTAGATAGCATTTTCACTGAATTGAAATGTTCTGAATTTATTCTTTCACCCAATGTTGCACTGATATATAACAATTTTATCATTACAATTATAATAAAAGTTACTAATGGGTAATAATTGTTTTAATTTGTTGAATGTATTACCTAGAGTTTTGAATTAAATTTAATCTATTATTATTAGACCCAACAAATTCTTCTCCTTCTTTAATTTCATAGAATTTTGGTGGTTTTATTGCACGTTCACTTTGTACACTTAAATCATTATCATCACTATCATTGTCATCATTACTATCTTTTTCTGTTTTATTACGTTCCTCACGCTCAGTTGCTATTCTTCTTCTTTTAGCTGATCTRTATTCAGACTTCAATTCCTTAGCCCATTTTTGGTCATCGTCTGAACTATACTCATCACTACTTTCTTCTGAACTAGGTTTTCCTTCAATTTCATCCTATGAAATTATTTAATTAGGTTTGTTTTAAATATAACAGTAAGTTAATGTTTATCTTTTAAGAAATATTGTATTAAAATTAAATCTATTTACTTCAATTGGATCAAATTGTTTTTGAATTTGTGACTCTAGTTCTTTTTGCTTAGATTTATCTAATCGTTTCAAAACTGGGTTCAATAACCTATATAGATATATTCAAATGTAATTAGATTAAAATACAAAGCATYATCTAAATTCATGTATCGCTGATGCTAACTAAGTTAAATTTAATTTATACAGTTAAATATAATATATTACTTATATTCTTCAGCATTTGTGTCAACTTGGAAAGATGGGTTTTCAAACAATGCTTTAAACCGATCATCTTTTAATAAACTAGTGGTATGTTTGGATTTATTATTTTTCCTTCCTTCTTTTTCGTCATTTATTAATTTCAAAGCAAGTTCTTTATTAACAGCAGGTAATTTCTGAAAATATTTAAATTATGTTAGTACGTGTAGTTCATTTATTATCAAGTTAATATTTTTATACTTGAACTTGGACACGATTAGTTCTTTCTGATTCAATTTTTTCTCTTATCTTTTTCCTACGATATTCTTCATAAGCAAATGGTTCCGCGACAGATTTAGCTTTTCTGTACAATCTGATGTCCACAAAATATCCATGCATATATGCTTTCAACAAGTTTGTTCCTAAAAATCACATTTTAGATGTTTTTATTTCATGAAGTATTATATAATTCAATAGATTAAAAAATGTATATTACCTATTAAATGTGATAAACCAAGTTCTTCTAGTTCATTTCGWGTAACAAATTTATAATCATCGTAGACAGTTTCTTTTTTAGTTTCTTCTAATTCCTCAACTAAAGCATCTAAAAATCCACACCATCTCGGAGCTGGACCTAAACTCTAAACATGCATAGACATATATTAGATTTTATGTTAAGTAATAAGTAAATATCAGTAAAATAAAACTAGGTTTAAAAAAACAAACCGGTATGTAGTGTGTTTGAATTTTTGTGTTTTCATTAGCAATGAACATCATTCCGGTTTGTGGAATAACACAGAGGTTATTAAATTGCGTATCATTACCAGATTCAAGAGCAGCAAATAATTTACCCTGTTAAACCAGATATATTTTTTTTAAATTAATATTATAAAAGTTTTATTATTAATTAACAATGCTCACAGTATTCTTATTCCAGATTTTCACAGAAGACGAGTCCATAGATAATACATTTTCATCTTGGAATGCAATATCTCTAATAGGTAACCCAAACAAATGATCTTTAATTCTAAATGGTTTRTTAGAGCGCAAGTCGTACAAAAGTATTTGGCCTGTGGCAGTACCAACACCCAATGTTAAAGCATTCTCAAATGTCAGTGCAGTTATAGATGGAAATCCGTTGTCACTAAAATAAATGATTTTACAGTTAATCAATTGAACTATAAAAGTTATTATTTAGCTTACGCAACATTTGTGTCATTTGTAACTGAGCTTAGAGCACAATCTAGAACTCCAATACTGACATGAGCTCTAGGATCCCACGCTTCCACTTTTCCTTCCTTAGTGCCAGATAAAAGCATATTATGTACAGGGTTTATGGCTAATTTGTTAATTTCATCGCCAGCACTAGATACAAATGGATTTAAAAACTGTCCTCTATCTAAATTTAATCTGTAAATATCTGAACTGAAAAAAATATTAWACATAATATTAATTAAGAAATTAGGATGAGTAGAAAATTTCATTTATTATGATAATTATTATTCTAATTTATTATAAAATATGGTTATTATTAAAGCTCTAATGTTTATGGCATAATTTTTTTTTTTTGCGAAGCCAGAATTATACCTGAGTATGATACAAATTCAATTCATGAAGTCTAAATTATTAATATGTAAACTTTTTTTACAAATTTTTGCATATTAAATTTGTCATTTTAATTTTAAGCATATTGATTATTTATAGATTATTTAGCATATATACTATAAATTATAATT